CCCCAAAACCCCAAAACCCCAAAACCCCAAAACCCCATATGATTTTTCCTAAATAGAATTTAAGTAATTATTCCTCCACTACTGGATGATCTCCTTCTTGACGAATCTTATATCTTCCATTTCTGAAAGCATTCAGATTGACATGAGCCGACCCTTCTACTTTCTTAAATCCAAATGAATGCAGATGGTGAAGATGGGACTGGTCACCTTGACTTACAATAGTAGCATTAAACCTAATATGATCTCCAACGTTTAGGCTGAGTAGTTCATCTTTATAGTCCTCTGTCATATTTTCAGAAAGAGTCAGGACCAAGCTAGCATCGTCTTCTTTCTTATCATCAGGGACCATTTTTACTAAAATACTAGAAGCATGATAGAAATGAGCAAGGCTGTCTTCGCTAAGAGCGTTGACTTGTACGATATATCCATCCCAAGTAACTCCTTTTCCTAAGTATTTTCTATCGAAAACTCTAATTGATTTCCTGGGTTGTTCGCTGTAGGAAACGAACCCTCAGTCATCTCTAAATTCCTGCCATCTTATATTAGTTAGAGGCCGTTGTTCTTGGAAGCCAGACCCAGAAGTCATCAGGACATACAGAACTATTCCGCATAGGACTGATAAGGAAATATATAATAAGTATTTCCTTGAGACCGCGATTGCGAAGTTGCCGATAGTAAATGATATGACCTTATCTTCCATCGAGCTGAACCCGAGCAAGGAGTTGTCCTTTACCTCGTTAAATCATTTAGGGCATCTATGGACAGCACTTTTGGTCAGTGAGAGAATCAGCGGAAGAACCATAAAGGAGATCCATCCCAATGCAAATAATAGGATTAGACAGACCAGATAGCCAAGGATATTGTTCTTGTACTCAACTATAGAGTCTTCCTTGGTGTCTCAATATGGTCACAATATCTCTTGGGATTGCTCTTCGAAGAAGACACCCTCTTCAGGATCGTCCATATAGTTATAGTTTAGAACCTCCCGCTCCATTTGTTTCCTCCTATTTGTTTTTGGGGCATCCTGGCTTGGAGGAGAGATTGGTCCATCAGCCACTTGAGATGAGGAAGGCATGATCTCATCCTGAGTTTCGTCGTGCTCTTCGTCGCTGTCATGTTCTTTTTTAGCTTTCATATTTAATATTATTCAATTATGGTAGCCTTCTTTGGGGTTTTGGGGTTTTGGGGTTTTGGGGTTTTGGGG